GATCACAGTATATTAAATTTGATATATTATTATTAAATAATATATTATAATATATTTATTATATTATATCCAACAGAGAATATAACTCCAAAAAATGGAATATTTCATACGTATATTAATCCTGAATATTTTCGTTCGAATTTTCGGCTTTCCACGAGGATGCATCGTTTCATCGACACTTTTCAATTTGTCAACAACAAATAATAATGGTTAAAGCTAGTTTGGTTTTTCAGCCAGCATTTCTCCTGCGAACGGTAGACATTGGGGGAATAATGAAAGTGGAAATGGTTGTACTGTTTTCTGCAAGCAATGTCCGTAATTATTATTTTAGAAATAAGGCCGCCATCAATTTTTCAAGCGGAATTTTCTTTCTTTTTTTTGACGTCGTATGAGAACGCGCGAGAACGAATACTTAACGCGGTAAGTATGACAAATGTGTCGTAGAAGTACGAAATCAATGTCTCCGTAGATGTATAATATGCGGTATGACCTTGTTCCCGAGCTACAGCTGTTTTTCTGTTACACCAGTTGCTCACCTGTCACGACAGAAACTGCGTGAAACGACCGCTTCTGGCTTGATTATGGCCATAAATTATGTCACCAAGAACTGTCCAACTCGTTCACATTTTCTGTTTCACTTGCTTAGAATCGCTTACAAATTGGCGTGACCTCGTGACCCTGAACTATTCGGTATATATGTATACAGCTTTGAACTTGATCGTTTTATCGTAAATATTAATCAAATCCACGGTCTAATCGTGAACAATATATTAGCATGTTACATTATATATTGATATATATTATTATATAATAATAAAAATAATATATTATATAAATAATAATTATAAATTATTAATAATAATATATTATATATTATATAAATAATAATTATAAATTATTAATAATAATATATTATATATTATATATTAAATAAAATAATATATTATTATATTGATATATAGCGTTATTGCTATGCCAATTCCGAAAAAATTTCATTTTGAACACGGTCTGTCCGCGACCTTGCCGAGGAATAAGGTTATTTCATGGTTATTTATATTTATATTATTAATATAAATATTATAATAATATAATATTAATAATATTATATTATTATTATAATAATATGTAAATTATATATATATAATATAAAATACTATATTATTAATTAATATATAAAATATACATAATATATAAATAAATAATAATTATTATAATATTATTATTATATTATATCATATATAATATTATACATAATACTCATAATTACGTATATATTAATTTCTAAAATATAAATAAATTATAAATATATATAACAAATTATTTTTAATACATTATAAATTATATTTATATTCACATTATAAACAAGCTCGACGATTTCCGTGTCACGTCACGCCATCCGAAGTCGATTTCTTCGTTCGGATCGGCCACGAGAGGACGATGTTTCATTGCGTGTCAACGCTCTGTGTACAGGTTTTATGATTGAAACGCCGAACACCGTGAAAGTTGTCGCGGTCGATGAATAAATTTTCCATAATAGAGCAGTTCGGCTGGAAACAGGACACATTGTACAACGAGAGAGAATGTGTATCGGGCGGAGATACATACATTTTACGCGTGGGCGGACGTTTCGTTTCGTTTTTCTGTTCCGCGGTTTGGTTGTAATTTCGGTGAATGAATTTCCGAGAAGCAGAGGCGACGTGTTCTTCTCGCTTGTTCTATAAATAGCGATCTTGCGTCGATAATTATTTATTGATTTACATTGGGAGAACGAAATCGTTACGGCAGATTTCAAGGGATTATTATTTATTATTATTTATTCTTTAATATTATTCTGTATTATTATTTATTCTTTATTATTCTTTATTCTTTATTATTCTTCTTTATTATTCTTCATTCTTTATTATTATTCTTTATTATTAGTTTTTAATATTCTGTATTCTTTATTGTTATTCTTTATTATTATTATTTATTATAACTTATTATTTTATTTTTATTTTTATTTTTCATTATTACATTTATAGAAAAATAATTTCTCCTTGGGAAATAGTTAGCGTTTCGACAAGAAATCTAGAGCCCGTAAGAAGCAAAGAAAAAGGGTGCATTGAACTATTTATGCGGTATTTCTAATTGCGAACGATCAATCACGCGCGGTATGAATTTATTAACAATTTAGACCTTTCTTCTACCGCGAAGGTTAATCGGATTCAGGCATGAATCATCGGACACATGCCGAGGGTTATTTCTGCTCGTTGAAACATTAACAACATAAGACGCAACATAATCTGTTGCCGAAACTAGCCGCGGAATGTTTCGGACGTGACTGTCTTTCATCGCAACGTATTTTCGACGTGTTTCCGTTGTTCCGTAGAAATTTGTCAGCCACATTTTTGCAACGTTATTTAATCCAAATTTTTATAATAACTTTCTATAGTAGGATAAATTTAACGGGCCCAAATATATTCGTTACTTTTTACAATTTTTTTTATGTAAGCCAAAGTATTGGAACTAGTCTCTCTCTCTCTCTCTCTCTCTCTCTCTCTCTCTCTCTTTCTCTCTCTCTCTCTGTCCGGCAGGAAGGAAGAAAAAATCGCGGGGGCGGAAAAGTGAAAATGTAGTCGTCCGTTTCGACGGGAGGGAAACCGAGCCTCGTATTCTCGGTTTACAAAACCAATGACCTTGACAAATGTGAATCGTGTTCGAATTACTTATCACGCAATCGCTCCGTTCCATCGCAGGCGTTCATAACAGAGCAAAAGAACAAGAATAAAAATGATTTTCCGAATAATCGTTAAATCGAATAATCATAAATCATCGAATAATCATCAAATAATTTATAATCGATAAAGCAAACTTTCAATTTAATTTACGAGGCATCCGTAAATGTTTAATATCGAATGCCAGCCTACCTGAACTGAACAATTATATAATCTCACCGAATTTCTCCAATTCTTCCTGGAAATTCCTGGTAAAGATCATTTTTTAAAAATGGAGTTCGATTTATCCGCCTGCTTGAAAATAATAAAAAATATCGCAACCCTGCGAATGTTCGTATTATTCGATATGCAATTTTTTCGGTGCAATATTTACGCAATATTCTATATAATTATATATATCTATATGTAATAGTATATTATACATATATGTATATATCTATATCTATATCTATAGATTATATTATATTATATATATATAGAGAGAGAGAGAGAGATTATATAGGAAAGAGGAGGATTTTATATTTACCGATTTCGTCAACAACCATAAAAACCAGCCGGAAGTCTCGACTAATACACAATCATCCATTTTTTAGCGCGCAATCCGAGCGCGAATTAGCGAGAAATTGCCGTGCGTCGTATTTAAGGGCGTGAAAAATCGGGATGTTCCGCGGCTGTCCCCCACCCGCAGCCAGCATCGCCGACCGCGATCGTCGCGATCGTCGGCGTCGGCGTCGGCGTCGGTACGTCGGGTACGTCGTGCGCGCCCCCCACCCTCGGCCGAAATCCCCCACCGTGTGCGGCGGCGGCGGCACGTCCTCGTGGAAGGCCGTGTTCGTTTTCCGAGGCGGCATCGGCCGGCAATTCGCATTCGACCGACGTCTTGGTTTAAAGAGTCTCGGGGACAAGACTTTTGATGATGACTTGACTTCTGCCGACTGGAGAGTGAGCCGCGGCCTATAAACACAGAGAGCATAGACGAAAGCTTGAGATAAAAAAAATAATACGACGACGAAGAAGTAGAAGAAGAAGCAGCAGCAGCAGAATTAATAGAAAAGGCGACGAATAGAGAAAAATATAACCGGATTATCAGTTGTTCGATCTTTCGGTTAGTCTCTTTCTTTTTTTTTCGCTTCGTCCTCTCGTCGAACCGGGTTAGAGATCCGCGAGTGACGCGACACGGCATCGATTGTCTATCGATTTATAGCTCGACAGTTTTTTTGATGTTGGTGAGTGCCGCCCAGTGAGTGCACCGCAGCGGGAAGTTTTCAACGCGCCGAGGCGATCCTCGGTGAGAAGCGAGAAGCGAGAGGGGAAAGAGAATCGCGACCGAAGGGAGAAGAAGTTCCCCGGTAGAACGTCGACGACGAAGAATTCAAATCGAGCCAGCAGACGCACACGCACACGCACATATACACACACACACGACTTGGATTTCTCCACTGATCCAAAATGAAGCGACAAACGTCTCAGCCGCAGCAACAGCCGCAGCAACAACAGCAACAGCTGCAGCAACAGCAGCAAACGGTGACGAGCCAGCAGCAGCAACAGCAGCAGTACATTCAACAGAGAACCGAACGACAGTTCACCACCCGACAGCAGATCACCAGTCAGCAGAGAGGTCAGTCAGGCTCGTCGACAGATCCCATAATCGATATTTCTATCTCTCTTTCGAAACTCGAAATTCGGACGGAGATCGTCAGTCGGAGCACCGACTGTTTCTCCGGCAGAGTTCTCGCAGTGCCCTCTGCGAGTTCTCTTGTGAACCGTTCGCAACGCAATCTAAAATCGTCCCGGAGCACGGAGCTCTTTGTAAAAATTTTATTCTGAAAGATAGTTTAGAAAAAATTATTTCGTTCGGTTAGAGAATAATTCCTCGGCGTTTCGTGGCATTGCACCGATCTCGCCGAGGAGCGAGAGGACTCGAAGGCAGAAAATAACCGGCAGAAAATCCCTCCGGATTTCTCGGCGGAGAATATCCCCTTGACGAATATTCTATTTTCGAGCGGGAGCACCGCCCCTGCGCGAGCTCTAAAGATAGTTCTTCACCACGCTGTTCGACGCCAGCGTTTCGAAAATTCCTGCACGCGCCGTAAACGCTCTCTCTCGTAAGGGTCGCCCTCCCCGAAGAGGGTGGCCCGTCGCCCCCGTCGCCCCGTTCCCTTGCTCGAGGAAAATCCGAGGCGCCCACCGCCGCGCGCAGCTGTCAAAATCGCGGCCGAAAACGCCTGCGCCACCTCCTCCGCGCCTGGCTGCATCCTCTCGTTCTCTCTTTTTCTTTCTTTTTCTCTCCCTGTTCATGCTCTCGGCCGACATGGGATATCTGTCATTGGCCCGCGGATTGCGTCCCCGGCTGCACTCGATCCGAGGGGAAAAAATGCGGCTTCTAAATCTGGCCAGACACACTTTCCACGGGGCCCCTCTCTCGGCCGCCCGCCGCCCGCCGCACGCCGCGCCGTGGCCCAAGAAGTAACGAGCTGAGACGACCGCCGGTTAATTAGCAAAAGTATCGGCGGCCCTCGCATCGCCGCGCCGCTGACAGAACCGCTCTACGGTCTGCTGCGACAAGACACCCCAAGTCCGGTTTTTGGAATTACGCGTCTTGCGTGGCTGATCCGTGCCCGTGGACTTCGATACTCGCGAATCACGATCGATCTTTGGCAGTGTCTAGGATTTTTGTTTTTCGTTTCTTTGCTTTTGCGGGAGAGCGTGAACTAGCGGGAACAGTATGGCGGTGCTATGATGTCGCTTGTATGTAGACCGCGGATCCTCGTGAAACGTGAAAACTGTACGGGATGATACGGGGGATGTTAAGGTTGATGAAAATGTCTTTTATTTGAAATATTTGTAGCGGGTTGGTAGCACCGTGTAACCTAAAAATCGACGGAGAAGATTATAGGGAACTTGAGATGGATGAACATGTGTTTTCTTTTTATATTATTGCAATAATTTGGAAATGCTGTAACCTTGAAATTGTTGGAATTGATCGCAGAGTAATTTGTTTCAATGAAAATGTGTTTCCACTGTAAATTATTGCAATAAATTGAAAATACTGTAACCTAAAAATCGTCGGAATCGATCGTGGAGAATTGAGACGGATGAACATGTGTTTCCTCTTTATATTATTACAATAATTTGGAAATGCTGTAACCTAGAAATTGTTGGAATTGATCACAGAGTAATTTGGTTCAATGAAAATCTGTTTCCACTTTCAATTATTGCAATAAATTGGAAATACTGTAACCTGAAAATCGACGGAGTCGATTGTGGAGAATTTGAGACGGATGAAAATGTGTTTCCTCTTTAAATTATTGCAATAACTTGGAAATACTATAACCTAAAAATTGCCGGAGTCGATCGCAGAGAACTTGAGATCGATGAAATTGCGTTTTCCCTCTAAATTATTGTAATGATTTGGAGATACTATAACCTAAAAATTGTTGGAATCGACCGCAGAGAACTCGAGCTTGATGCAAATGTGTTTCCACTTTAAATTACTGCCATAATTTGGAAATACGATAATCTAAAAATTGTCGGAGTTAATCGTAGAGAATTTTTAGTTCGATAAAAATGTGTTTCCACTTTAAATTACTGCGATAATTTGGAAATACTATCACCTAAAAGTTGTCGCCGTTCACGGTCCAGTTACAAATTTGCTACAAAAAATGCAAAAAGTACAGTAAAAATGTCAATTTTAGTCGCTGCACGATCAGCACTATAATAATATTACGTACATTATAATAATATCCGAGCAATTCTACGATTACGATTTTAATAACCAATAGAATCCCTATTTTTGTCCTCGAATGCAATCATTGTCACAAAAATGACCATTTTCCCCATAAATGTGTCTAAGAACAACGTTCCAGACATTTTCAATAAGATTTCGACCAGGTTATGTTAGTTGCTATATTATTGCATAATACAGTAAATTAATCGACGCTCAGCTTGGAAACAAAAATGGACAATTTGGGAAAAGATGATATGATTATTCGACAGCCGCGGGGCTATTTATATCAAGGTTATTATAGTTACCGATTGTTAACAATTGTAAAAACAAGTCGCAAGGCTCAATTAATCGCATCTCCTCTTCCCAAATCGTCCATTTTTGTTTCCAAGCTGAGCGTCGATTAGGGAGAATTTACTGTATCAATTTCATTTGCTTGCATCTCTCTCGCAAGCGACAATTCCTCTACAGAGTGTCCCAAAATAATTGTTTCAGCAAGAAATGAGAGATTATCGAGGAGATTTGAAGTAACTTTTTCCTTAGCGAAAATGCAATCCGCGGCTTCCTTCACGAGTTATTAACGAAAGGCGGTGACCAATCGGAGGGCGAGTGCGGCCGTCGCGCGGCGGCCGAGTCAACGAGCGGTCGAAGCCCGGCTCCGCTGATTGGCTCGGCCGCCTCGCGCCAGCTGATCTCGCCTCTCATTGGTCGCCGTTTTTCGTTAATAACTCGTGAACGAGGTCTCGTAGAACATTTTCGCTAAGGAAAAAGTTACTCGAAATGACCTCAGGAACCTCTCGTTTCTCGCTTGCACAATAATTTTAGAACATACTGTACGCTGTTTCCAATGGCAGTATTTATCGCGTGCCGCGATGTCTGCGGGATTGAATAACGTTTCTCGAGCAGCGGGCAACGCGACTTGTTTTCGAAATTTGTTACGTATTCCCGAGCACCCTTCTCAACGTCGAGGCTCTGTCTAGGATGTCGTAAATATAGAACCGTTCCATAAATACGGATAGTTTGACTTTGAAAAGCGTCGCGATTTTCAACGCAACCATGCGATATTGGAAATCGTTAGATCGACGTCCGTCGAGCCGAAAGCAACGTTGATCGATCAGCGAAAGTATCGTCGATAACTGTTTACATTCGGCCGTGCGTGTCGTACAGAGGCGTGGAAAGGTAGTCGTAGGCGAAGTGAAATTTTTGGGACGACTAGAATTTGCTAGGAACTCGCGAAAGTTCTCTGGAACTACATATAACCGTTGGAGAGGAGAACAGCTGTTCGCATAACGTTCTACCATCGAATAAATCGCGGTGACGGATCGTCGGCGTGATATGTTGCTGATCTTGACATTTTTGGGACGCCGAATGAACGGAGCTCTATGATCGTCGTCGCCTGAAACTTTCAAGCATTCGCCGTTTCAATATTTTCCAATTACATTCCAATATTTTTCACAGACAGAATCGTTAATTTATTACAAGGCAGTCGATGCTTGAAATCCTTTATTATCGAAGAATTATAGCGTCGATTCTTATTTCCAACGG